TAGCCTGGCTACGGGTGCTCAAAAAAAAAAAAAATTATATATAATATTGCAAATATTTATTTAATATTTTAATAAAGGTATACTGTGATAATATGATTGTGAATTAAAAAGTAATAATAGCTGCTTTTTTATTTTTATTTTTTATTTCTTTAGTCCCTCTATTTCCTTTCTCTTTTTCATTAATTAAAAATTTTTTTATATGCTGTCGAAATCGATCGATCGACTTAAATACACGTGAATGTATGCTATAAAAATTTTTCGTGGTCTTTTTTACAAATGCATTCCGCGAAAGCTTTACGCCTCAAGAGTAAACTATATTGGCAAACAACACAATTCCTCTTTCATCCAAGCAAAAGTAGCAATTTCAACTATGATTTAAACGCACTAAAAGCTGTTGAGCATTATATGCAAAGACCGATAAACGATATTTCTGTCAAACATACACCAACTAAGGTTGTTTTTCGGCAATATTTTTACTCTGGTACCCAGCAATCACTGCGTGGAGGGGTTGTTTCGAATTCAGACCCTTCCGCTTTTAATTCGAACATATTTGATCCAAAATGTCTCAACATTCTCAAGGAACGACTTGGAAAGATGTATAATAAAGAAGTGGAGTTTCAATTAGTTCGACAACATTATCCTTTTCTCAATGCCAAAATTTTAGCTCAGTATATAGCTTCAAATACTTCACGTTATAGAATTAGACAGATTCGTCGCACATTATTTAAAAAGATTCCATTGATCGGTCGTAGCATAGGAGAAACCAAGAAAGTTAGCAAAGGCAACTTGCTAAATGATCTCAATGCAGCTTCGCCCACGAAATGGATTCAATTATCGCGTATTGGAAATCGATTCTTGCCTATTCATTTATCAGGACTTAGAATGAGAATTTCTGGTAGGATGAGCCACAGGAAGGGAGCGGCTAGAACTAACGTGGCCACTAGCTCCTTGGGAAGATTTAGGTTTAACACAATGAAAAATACCATGATAGACTTTGCGAAGGTGGAAAGAAAAAATCAAAATGGTGCATATTGTGTTAAAGTTTGGCTTACTTCTTCTGTGGTCTGATGTAAAAAAAATTTCTATTCAATTAGTTATCGTTTTTCTTTCAGCGTATTTAACATGAATTAAATTCAATAAAGTATTCATGTCGCGTGTCGTTTTTCGTGATCATCAATGTGTAGATCGATCAAAAAAATTTTTTTATGCTGTGATCGATTGAATGTAGGTTTAATCTTTGCTCCTTCAAGACACGACTTTCTTAACATGACAAGTATAACAGATTCTAAAGTTGAAACACCCGTTGCTTCTAACTCGGACGCAGCAGTCGTTGTCGATGGAGCTCCCGCAAGAATAATAAGGAACAAGGCGCTTGTTCTTTCACCATTTTCACCACGTTTGCCGGTTCCACCGGTCACTGCGCGTCCGCCGTCGGCAAAATCAGACATTGTTATCGCGACTTTAGTTTTAAAGGATGGTACCAGTTATCAGGGCTTTTCATTTGGTGCAGAAAGCAGATCAGTGGCAGGAGAATGTGTTTTTCAAACCGGTATGTTTTTGCTTTCCTCTTTCTTTTCTCGGTATGATTTTTATGTATTTCTAATTATTAATTTAATTTATAGGCATGGTTGGTTATCCCGAGTCTCTGACCGATCCCTCGTACCGAGGGCAGATTCTCGTATTGACATTTCCCCTTGTAGGAAATTACGGCGTTCCTTCATACGACGACATGGAACCTCTTCTCAATGGCATTCCGAAGTACTTTGAATCTCGTGAAATACACATCGCTGGTTTAGTTATCGGTCAATATTCACAGAAATTTTCGCATTATCTCGCAAACTCCTCCTTATCCGATTGGTTAAAGGAGAACGATATTCCGGCTATCTATGGAATTGATACACGTGCACTGACGAAAAAGATTCGCACTCAAGGTGTACTTCTGGTGAAGATTTTGTTTCCAAAGAGTGTAGTTGGAAACGCGGCATTGGGCATATCGGAGTCGAATGATTTTTTATCCGCAGATGGCTCGAATTGTCCGGAACCTTGGATGCTT